TCGTGTGTAGCCGGCTACCAAAGGCGGGCGGCTAAATCCACTTTTTAATGACTTTGAGATAGACCAGGAGCAAGGCCACGATGACACAGAGCACCGCCCACCACACGTAGTACCCGTACTCGAGCTTGAGCTCGGGAATGTTTTCAAAGTTCATCCCGTAGATGCCCGTCATAAACGTGCCTGGGAGAAAGCACGCAGCCACGACCGACATGGCATACATGACGTCGTCCTTGTGCTGGGCGCGGAGCTGCTTGTCTTCGTCGACGAGCGCCGCCAGAGTTTGATGGTGATCGCGGATGTCAACAGCCATTTGCCTGAGGTGGTCCATCACGTCGCGGAGGTAATTTTTCACATCCCTTGGAAACAATATTTCGTACACACGAATATTTCCACATAAAGGGCAAAAAATATATTTGTGTCTCGTGGTGTTCAATAAATATTGGAATGGGATTCCTCGTACGTTGTACAAACGCTGCGGCGTCGCGGTGTTGTGACCGAGCTCAGCGACATGGACATCAATGAAAACGAAAGGGTGCTCCCCGATGCATTCGACGACGACAACGGCCTACCTCTCGTCGGCACAACCGCTTTACATCATTTCAAGGTACATCTCTACAATTCTGAATCATCAGCGCATTCATGGGTGCCGCAGGTCAAGCAAGACAAGGTGTCCCTGGCAGGCTTCGAACACAGCATGATCGTGAAGGCATTTCGCCACCTACCAACGCGACGTTTGCAGCGTTTGCTCGCAAAATCGACGCGGACCGCGACCGGGTAAATCATTTTCGAGTTCACGCATGTCGGGCAGCTCGTCCGCTGACGCGCTTGAGCGCGCGCTCGAGTCGGTCCATCGATTCCCACAAGTGCGACAGGACGGCTCCCGACGACATTGCATGTCGCGGACTAGGCATCCACGCACTTCCACCAGGTCGTTCCGGCCACACATGTCGACGAGTTTATGTTTTCCACGACACCGTCGCGGGGGAGTGCTCGGTGGGGTGTATCTGAAGATTGGACGAAGCCGAGGCACTCCATGTGCGGCGGCGGCTCGCCAACAGGTATCAGCTCCACTTCTCGACGTGGGCTGCATCGAGTCCGTTCTGCCAATGCGATGGATCGCCATCGGGGTGGTCTCTCACACGATCGCGTGGGGAGCTGGCATGGAAAACTCACACGGTCGAGGGGCATTTCGCATCAAAACTGAGCCCCTCGCATTGCCTGTGTGTATTTCGTCGACGGAACAGCTCCATCGCTCCATGTCGGCACGGCCACCCTTCGTTCGAATGCTTCACAACGAGTGGATTGAAATGTTGTGGCATCTCGTATTGTGCCGCAAGGCGGTGACCGGCGCATTCCATTCCGTCGCGAGTCCGTCGTAGTCTGTACACGCATGCGAGTGGTGCACCCTTTCACGTCGCGGCCGCGTCGTTCCTGATGGAGAGGACTGGGATGGCTCAAGGGCGACGAGTTGGATGGCCGGTCAGCCAGCGCAGATTTGAAAGGACAGTGGACCTGTCCAGATTCGTTCTGGCCATGATTCGTTGCCCATAGCAGGACGTGCACTGTTTTATACTGCACGAACGCGCCGACAGACGAGCGCATGCCTGTGGTGGGGGCCGGGCGAATGCTGAGGCATCGTACGAGAAACACACAAAAGCGTGGGTTGTTGTTCGCTGCATTATCGCGGTTACTCCATCTTCGAACAGGTTTGCAAGGCGCAAACCATCAGCAGCAGCAGTACGAGGCCGACCGAAGGATGGGCGAGCCATCGATCCACGACGAGTGCGAAATGGAGCGCACCAACGTGTCAAGACGTCATGGTAGCGGGACATTTTCGCTTGATCAGCACGGAATAATCCACTTGTCGACGGACACAGTCGGTGCGTCGACTCTTTTGGCAGCGCCAGCGGCATCGCGCTCTTCCGTGGCCTGGTAGATGAAAGCACCGATCGCGGCGTTGACGAGGACGCCAGCAAAGGTGAGTAGGAGCATGGGCATGGTGGAGATGGGTTGGTAGGTGTTGCAGAAAGCAAATTTCGGAGTGGCCGACTCCGTGGCGCCGCCGCCGCTTCTTGACTGGCCTGGCTTCAACTTGCCCTTCAAGAAAATTCAATGGGACGTTCAGATGTGGGGTGGCCAATCAGGGGATTTAACGCCATTGTAGCCAATGGCCTTGGAGAATTCACAATTATTTTCGCCAATCAAAAGGTGGACCTGCACCAAGGAAAACCACACACGGATGGGCGACAGGGATGCGTCGGGAAAGGCACCGCGTCGATGCCGCCGCAACATGGGCGTCCTTGTGGCCACGCCTGGCGCTACGATGCCGCTGCTGGTGTGTGTACGCGTCGATGTTGGTTGCACGCAGGGGGGCGCCTCGATCTCGTTGGCCTAGCGCGCGCGATACATATACAGTGACGCCAGGGCGGTCGCAGCCGCTCGACGAACTGGCAGTTGCCCGCATGGGTGGATGCCGGTAACACGACCTGGCTCAAGCCGTCACTCGGTCGGACCTCTTGCGCCGCCCAGGTGCTATGCCATGGAAGGTGCACGACTTGGAACGCCGCACCCACAGCACCCGGTGCCTCGACACGGACACGTCGGCCATGTCGCTGGCACGTGCGCCGATTGTTTTACACGGCATCCGTCCAGCCGCAATCGAATCCACGCCAACGATCTTTCCCACATAACCGACGGATCGTCGACGGCGCCCTCGACGCATACCCCCCGCAACCGATCGCCGTTAGATTCACATTATTCCAACCAATGTCAGCTGCTCCTCTGCGGTGTCCATGGCAGCCGCCCGGCGCCGGCTGCGTCGGCTGGCCTCGTGTGTAGCCGGCTACCAAAGGCGGGCGGCTAAATCCACTTTTTAATGACTTTGAGATAGACCAGGAGCAAGGCCACGATGACACAGAGCACCGCCCACCACACGTAGTACCCGTACTCGAGCTTGAGCTCGGGAATGTTTTCAAAGTTCATCCCGTAGATGCCCGTCATAAACGTGCCTGGGAGAAAGCACGCGGCCACGACCGACATGGCATACATGACGTCGTCCTTGTGCTGGGCGCGGAGCTGCTTGTCTTCGTCGACGAGCGCCGCCAGAGTTTGGTGGTGGTCGCGGATGTCGACAGCCATTTGCCTGAGGTGGTCCATCACGTCGCGGAGGTAATTTTTCACTTCGCCCTGCCACGACCGTGTTAGCGCGCACGTTTCCAACGTCGACGTACGTGGCGAAACTCGTCCTGGTCAAGGAGCTGGTCCTGCACCAAATCCAGCATGGGCCGGACGACTTTTTCGAGCCCGACCAGGTGCTTCTGGGCGCGCGCGAGGCGCTTTGGGTTGAACTGGATGCCTTCGAGTCGGAGGAGCTTCCCGAGCATCTTGAGCGTCGACTCAAAGACCGCGACGAGCGGCATCATTTCGTCGACGGTCGCGGCCAGGATGGACACGACGAGGAAGGTCGCGTCGTGGTTACGCAGCTTCGAGTACGATTTGGTCAAATTTCGGTCGTAGATCACGTGCCACAGCGGCCGCGCCGTCGTCTCGGTCGGCGCACCGGCCTCCTCCTCCTCCTGGATGCTCAGCACGTGCGCCTTGTCCTTGGACACAAACACGCACAATTGCTGCGGTTGCCGCATGAGGACATGGAGTTTGTCGAGTTTCGATTCGAGTTCGAGGCGCTTGTGATGGCGCGATGACGGCCGTCCGCCGCCGTGGGGCGACGACTTGGCGGCTACCGTCGGCGTGGTCGGTTTGAAAAACGACAGCATGGACGACGCACGCGTGTTGTCGAGCGCACCGCCCTTTCGAAGAGTCCTGTCCTTGTGGAATAGCGCGCGGCGGCGATCGTTGATGCAAGCTTCCAAGTGGGAGCGCTTGGACACGTCCAGAGGCCGCAGGACGGGCACAATCTACCAAAGCATGCCGTCAGTCGACGAAGGCAGGGGGGCGTGGCGTACGAGGAACGAGTGGTCGTCATAGTGCTCGTACTTGCACCGGATCTTGTCGTCGGCGCTGAGGCAATCCTCCACCGCCAACGGATGGAGCTGGTACTTGATGGCGAGCCGGCGGACGTTCAGGTCGTCCATGCGCTGGAATCCGGCAAGGTGGACCCACCGAACCGTCGCCCATGCCGGCTTGGCGGAAAACATAAAGCCTTGCACGTGCCGCACGGGATCCACGGCATGGACGTGCGTTGGCGAGTAGTCGACGACGCGAAGGGCAGAGCGTGCTGTCGAGTCTTGGTGGCTGTGCTCCGGTTTGAACAAGTGGGCTTGCTTGATCATCTGGACGACAGCGACGAATTCCGCCAGGCTCACCATCCCGTCCCCGTCCGCATCGACCTTTCGCGTGAATTGGCCAAAGTCCATCCCGGGCGGCGGCGTGATGCCGAGCGCAAACAAACCTTTCTCAAACTCGTCGTAGTTGACCCCTGCCGACGCTACAACGCCGCTCTCAGTTTGAAACCAGCAGCAGCGGAGGAAGAGTACCGCGGGGGTTGAAGTGCTGGTACATGCGGCGCAAGCGCCCCGTCGTAACGTCATAGTACGGGTCGAGGAGCACCTTGAGCTCTTCGGCCTCGACATCGTCGTCGTACGTGCGGGAGGGGGATTCGATCGTGCCCTTGACAGACCGATGCCTCGTCAACACGTGGCCATAGTTCCACTCGAGGTTCTGCGCTTCGTCCACCGTGAGCTGGGGCACGAGCTTGGCAGGGTCCCACACTTCGGACGACCCTGTTTTGTTAGAGTGACCTCCTGGGACAGGACAAAACACGCGCGTCGGCGGCGTTTGGGACGCGCCTTCCGACGGTTTGTTCGACGGCGACCCAAGGGCGATGTAGTTGGAGTGGGGGCGCATCATGCGCAAGCGTATCCCGTGCTCTCGAAGTTGAATGCGCCAACATCCGCGGCGAACGGCCACACGTTCCAATATCGAACGAAACGCAGTCGTCGTTTCGGCAGTCGGTCGCTCGTCGGTCTGATAGACGTGCTGGCGGTCCTTCGTTGACTCGGCTTGGAAG